GGGGGCGGGGACGACAGCCGGCTGCGAGGGGGGGCGGGCGCGCCCTGGTGGGGATGAGGGGGGGGCGTTCGCCAGTTCATTCTGACAAGCCTTCCCTTCTTACGTCTTAGGTGTTGATTTTAAAGTGAAGAAAATGGTCGTAGACGGCCATGCAGTGCAGCTCGCAATATGGGTAGGTTTTGTTCTCGACAGGTGTGAAAACTTCAAGAGCTTCTTTTTGTGTTTTTTTTCCCTCTTCCTTCTCCCCCCTCCCCCTTGCTAAAGTCTTCTGCATGTTGAGATTGTGTACTTATGATGCAAATGCACGTAGAATGAATGTCTGTCGTGATCGTACAACAGTAGTTGCAGACAAGGTTCTTTCAAAACACTGGTAAATGCTTCATTGCTTTAGGTTTGGGACTTCCTTCAATTCTAGTAGAGATTTTGATTGTTCTTTCCTGCACTTATACAACTGGGTTTCTCAAACCCTTTGTAAAGTGTTAGACTTGCAAAGATGTGGCCTTACAAGAAAGGCAGGCATTTCATGCCTGTATGACCCAGAAGCGCTCCCAGGACAGGCAAGCACTGAAGTTGAGTAAACCATAGAAAAGCTGTGTCCTGGGTGATGAGTTGCGTGATTTCCTGTAGGGGCTGTGCAGCGATTCTGTGCGTATACTATACTAGAAACAGTCCAGATGATTTATGGTGGTTAAAATATTGGAGAAAAAATATACTTGGTCCTGAACTATTTAACAGTTGGTTCAGAGTTACTGGAAGACTTGAGCATTTGTCTTGAACTTCTTGATGGTGTATTTCCAGCCCCTGCAAACTGAGAAATCAAATTTGCAGCTGTGTGATCAGGTTTATTTATAATATTAAAGCACCACATTTATTCTCCTAAACGGAATGAAAGGGCCCTAGAAGGAAGAGATTTTATGTGTATGGTCACAGCTATTCGAGAAAGAACATGCCGTTACTAATTAAGTAATTGGGACTATTGGAAAGAGAGCACAAATGTGCCTTGGGCTGGTATTAACAGAAGTAATATAAATGCCAAAACTTGAATTATTTTCTTGTTTTCATTCACACTGTGTACAGAATGCAGAGCAAGAGTGATAAAGTCACACTTGCTCTAGCCAGTGAGCATATGTGTTGGCTGTATTCTGAACATGCTGCACACAAAGCAGAAGCTTTGCTGAGAGTAACCAAGATATGTTTGCACTAATAATCACACAGGGGTGTGTCTCCTTGCTGTGAAATCAAAAGCAAGGCCAGAACTTGCACGAGTTGTATAGCTGGAAAAGGCACTTTTGCAGCAGTCTGTATCAGGAGAAACTGCTAATTAGGGGGTAAAAACCAGTGCAGTTGTGTGATGTTGAATAAAAGCTTTAATGCAGGTACCGTGCATCAAGGTCAAAAAGAGGCTTCTGCTTTAGCGTCCATGTGTGCATAGATGCCTAAGAGTACAATCTCTTTAGTAACTGTGACCTGAATTAATATATTGCCAATTTCAGTTTGGTTTTTTTTTTTAACAAAGAAGAAATAAATTACAACATAGCTGTTAGTCTGTCTATTGTAATCTGTACATAAGTTTAAATAAATTTTTTTGGTAAAATTGTATTTGTGTAATTCTTTTGCCTCCTTATGGTTTGTTCTGAGGGGTTTTGAATTTCATGTTGTGTGTAGGAGCTATTTCAAAGATTTGTGAGAATAAGTGTGACATACTGCAGTAATAATTGAATGAAACTACTGATTTTAAATTTCTTACCTGCTTAGAGTCTTAGCAAACTTGAAGTAGTTCTAACTGGTTTCTCCTCTCCTGCTGTGGAGGAGTAAAGGGAGATTTTTGGAACCACTATGTCTCCTTTCCTGCAGTGTCTCTCACTGGAAAACCAGTTATTCCTCACCTCGTTCAGTTCAGCTGATTGTTAACTGATTAAGCCTAGCTGCTTGGCTTGCAGCAGTAGTCTTTTCTGTATTTCTCATGAGACCCACTGACTTTCTTCTTGTTTCACTCATGTTACAGGTGTCTGTACTTATTGCTTTAACCTTCAGTCAAATCCTCTCCATGCTCTTCTACCCCTCTTTATCTGTTTTCTGTTGCTAACGTTTTCTGACGGCTTCCCTCATTCTGTTGTCTTGCAGTTTCACATATACTTACTGGTCAGGAAAGATTTAACTTTATCTTGTGTAGTTTAAAATACCTTTTTTGTTCTAAATATATTTGATTTTGTGTGTGTGGTGTGTGTTGGGTTTTGTTTGGGGTTTCTTTTGTTGTTGTTTTTTTTTTTTTTCCTCTGTAGGACACAGCAGGACAGGAGCGCTTTAGAACACTGACTCCCAGTTATTACCGAGGAGCTCAAGGGGTTGTTTTAGGTAGGAGGTATATGGAAGAAAAACATGATTACAAAAAGTGTGGTCTTTATTACTACCTAAATGTGCATGTCTTTACAAAAGGAGGTTTTCTGAGAGAATCAGAGGAACAATTATGTTTTTTACAACGTTACTGAATCATTAACTCAAGTGCTGAGTGTGCAAAACCACTGGCAGGAAATAATGCTGCTTCAAAATATTTGAAATAAAAAATACAGAGATGTTGCAGCAAGCTGTTGAGTGGATGAATTATTAGCTTTGTAGTTTTTACTTTGGCGAGTTTCTGGTAATCAGGCAAATTGGGGTTGTTTGTGTTGGCTCCCCCCCCCCGATGTTTTTACCTTTTTTCCCAGAAACTATTGATGTGATTACTGTTAAGACATGAGGTTTGTACCACAAGTAACAGGTGGCTCGTCCCTCTCTGCGTGACAACACCAATTAGAAAAAGAAGGGACTCATTCTTGGGGTTTGTGAAGGTTGAGCACCTTGCTGTACAAAATACTCTTTCTGACTATGATGCAGCTTTTTAAACCTTAGTGATTGAGTAAATGCAGTTATGAAGTTACTAGTGACCAAGAGTCACTTTTTACTCAGAATCTGTGTTTTTAGCAGCAGTGCATGCATGTAATTATACGTTAAATGAGGTGACAAAATAGCTATTTTAATATATTCTCTGTGGCCCAATTCAGAACTAGTAACAGGTATAAGATTTCAGCTGGTAAGTCTGATTTCCAGTCGCAGATCTATTGCGGAGATGCTCGTGTTCTGTAATCCCTAGTGACTTTTGAGTGAGCACAACCACTGCGTTCCAGCTCTGGGAAAAGGATATGGTTGACGTGTATTTGTGTGATTCCCTAATACTGCTTGGGGGGCGGGGCGGGGGGGCAGTAGTTAGCTAGTAGGGACTAAGTTCTGTCATAATGAAGTAAACAATGTTCAAGACTCTACAGCTGTTAAGCTCCTTTTCCTCTGTTACCAGTGTATGATGTTACAAGAAAAGACACTTTCGCAGGACTAGAGAGCTGGCTGAATGAGCTGGAAATGTATACCAAAAGCAACACTGTGAAGATGTTAGTTGGCAATAAAACCGATAAGGTCAGTTTAGAAATGCATCTTCTTACACTCTTCCACAGATTACTCAGTCATGATAGAGTATAAATGTGAGATAAGTGCTGAAACTAACACATCTGTTGTCTGAGGCGGTGGTATGCTTTGTAACTGAGGAACCTAGGTTAGCAGGCTCCACTTACTATGTCATTTTAGAAGCAGATCTTGTTAAAGATTTTAATGGAAACTCTCCTGGAGAAATGCAATTGATGAGAGAGATTCTCTTAAGATAGTGAGAGGTTCTGCCTAAAAACTGTTGTATACCATTGACGTTGACTGCAACGCAGCAGCACAACTGCTGCTTTCTTTTTGACCAGACTGTGTTTTGGACAGGTGGTGGGGAAGGAGAATTCAGCTCTTCAGATGGCTATAGAGTATGCATGTGTGTGGGTGTGAGGTGCACTGGTTGCTGTACGTTTCTGGAGTGTTTTGACATATCTTAGATGCCTGTTCCATACTGACATGTTTCACTCTTGCTTTACTACAAGAGGTTTCCAGTGTGGCTATCCTGAACTAGGTTCTCTTCTGCCCCCTTCCAAATCTCACTTTCAGATCCTTTGATATCTCTTTTCAGCTATTTGACTACTGAAACCTCTTTTCTGGCATATATCTTGCTCCTAATTGATTCAGAAGATAGCAACACATTCATTTCCTGCTGATTTGATGTTGCTACTGTTCAATTTGACCCCCTAACAGCCTGCTTAGCAGTAAGCTGTCTGTAGAGTGGGAAAATCCAATTGCTGATTGCTACATGGTTTTATAGACCTTTTTCTTTTCAGCAAAATTTCACTTCTGCAGTGGTTCTTTTACAGGGACTTCCTAAAATGGCAAGTGTAGCTTTTTTTTAGTCATGTTCTTCATTCATCTCTGCAGCCTGATCGTGAAGTAGAGAGAAGAGAAGGACTCCAGTTTGCTAGGAAACGCTCTCTGCTTTTTATAGGTATGTAACACTGTGCCAAAAACTTGTATATTCATATCTTTATTTTGGTATTGCTGAGTGTGAATGAAGCGTACAATTGTATTTCAGGTTGATATGTTGATTTACCTTTTTTTTTAGTACCTAATTAACATGGGTTCCTTTTGCTGCATTAGTACATATGCATGGATGTAGCTTTTAACTTTTTTTTTTCACAGATGCTCTGCATTGACTGCAATTGGAAGTAACTTTTCTCTGAAAGAGATTTACTTCATATAATGTGTAGGCATGAATTTTATATTCTTTTGAAACTAGCAGGATTTTTTAATTCAGAACTGAGAAGACTGGAATTTTTCTCCTGACTGATGTCAGCGAGGACCTTGGGTAATCTCTTTTTTGTTTCCAAGTTTCTGTTGCAGCTACATAAAAGACAGTATTCTTAGACCAACAATAAAATGTACAGTGTGAAGAGAGAAAGATGGGGAATGAATTGTGGGTTTGGTTTTTGTTTGTTTGTTTTTAAAGTTCCTTTTAAGTGAAGCTTCTTGAAAAGATTTTCAGAAGGAACTGGAACAAAGAGGGGAAAACATGTAATTCCCTCTGCAGTCTTTATTTCCCAGCTTAGTTATGGAATAATTATCTTGTAGATTTACTGTCACAACCTGAGAACAATTTCTGTTTCTCCATTAGGGAGAGAATGGGGAACTGTGGAATTTTTTTAGGTGGAAAAATGAGGTGCTTCAGACTAGGATGCATTTCTGTTTATCATATTCAACTTAGGTGTGCCTTTAAGGGAGAATGGAGAGGAGGTTCACTCATTAAAAAAAAATATATCTTCTCTCTGGTCCCAAAAGAACTTCTTACAAAGTGGAATACTCCCTGCAAATAAGATAAAATACTTTCCCTCCCTTTTCTTCCCCCTCCACCAGAGACCAGTGCCAAGACACAAGATGGAGTGCAACATGCCTTTGAGGAACTAGTCATAAAGATCCTGCAGACACCAGGTCTTTGGGATAAAAGCACAGAGAAGTGGGGAGTCCAGCTAATGGAATCTTCAGCACAGCAGGATAAAAGCTTATGTGGTGCATACTGTCCACTTTCTTAAATCTATAGGTGGCTGTTCTATCTGGAGTGGACCTCTTTTTTTTTTTTTTTTTTTTTTTTTTTTTTTTTTTTTTTAAAATGGGGGGCAGGAATTACAATCACCAGTCTGTGCCTTGTTTGACCTGCCACCAGTTGTGTAGATCCAAACCTGAAACTGATTAGCAAAATACATTTTTGTTCATTAACAAAATACAGTTTCTCTTTCCCTTATGAACAGCTGATGTCTCCAGATATTTTTCTGGTAACTGTCAGATTTTTCACTATTAAATCATAGTGCTTTTTAGAGTATTCTTGCTGCATGGCATTCAACATGGACTTTTTCTGAAATTCCTGCCTTAGCATAAAATAAGGTAGTACTCTGTTTTGGAATATTATTGAAAAGCTTCTTTCCCCACAATGGCAAAAGAGTCTTTCAGGCACCCAGGTTCCCTTAAATGTTAACAGTCAGGAGTCACCCTGAGCAGTGACATTGTTTCCCAATTTCAGATGATTTTAAGCAGTTGAAATTGCTACATGTCCCCAGATAGTAAGTTCAGTTATTACTTAATTTTAGGGTTGTAGTGAAGAGGCGTATCTGTTAACATTTGGCAGGGAAAAAACCCGCCACTTCCTGTGCAGTACACTGCAGGTTACCCCTTGCTGCTCTTAAAATACTTTGTACCAAGGATCAGTGGTGAAATGGAGTCATCATTTTTGGCTGGTTTACACTGTGGGTCCTTTTTGCAGTTAACAGGGCTTTCTGCAAACCCATGTTCCTGCCCTCGTTCAGCAACTGCAGGCCTGAAACTAAGTTTGATGTAAAATGTGCTGGTTATGGAAGACTTTCACTAGGATGAGTCTGTCTATTGCCAATCTCATTATGAAGTTCTGTCAGGTAACTGCCTCCGTTACACCCTCCTCCGCACCCCCCACCCCCTCCCCAGGCCCATTAAACGCACTGCCTTTTCTTGAAAACAAACTGAGTCATGGAAGATGTTAGCCTAGACTCTGATCTTGGTAGTAATGTTTCTGGAAGACTTCTGATTGGCTGTGGAACACTGTAAAAGTATCAACTTTGGGGACTATTAAAAGCATTTAAAAAATAAACCAAAGTTCTTGTAAACAAGTGACAAGTCCAAAGACAGTCTTTCATTACAGGACATTGTCAAGTCAGAACAGAAAAATTGCCTTTTTTTTTAAAAGATGCATGTTTTAATGATTCATTGCTATCAAGTTCATTTATATTAGTGGGAGTGCCTTCCTGAGTACCACCAGTGATTTGTCATGAGTGCTGCCACAACACAGCTGAAGACAAGACATATAAACTTCAACCTCTCTTTGGAACTGTTCTAGCTTCTCTGCAAAGTTGCTCTTTGTGGAGCTGTCTTCTTCTGTGAAAAGTCGATCTGTATAATTTTTGCTAAAGTGACTGGAATACCCGTATTGGGTTTTTGCATCAGCTTCTGTCTGCCTTGCAATGGATTGTAAGTGGTTGCATAGTTGGAATATCACTCCTGTGTATTTCCTTCTCCTGAAATCAGTCTGAGGGAGATGTCAGATCTTATAGTAGTTTTTCATGTCTTTAGGAGTGGAAACACAGGTGCTTACAGCTAGCTGAAGGACTCCTTCTCATACTTTCATCTTGGTTTTGGTCTATAAGATGTCCCTTTTGGAATACTTACTTATATCAGCTTGTGAGAGTAGAAGAGAAAGCAGTTTCTCTTGGTGTGACTGATAGCAGCTGGACAGTCATGCTGCAAGCACATCACAGACTGCGTGGTTTGTTAAAACTACTGAGCGTCTATCAGCAAAATGTAGGCATGTCACAATCTGAAATGGTTTGGAATGTCCAGGTATAACGGTGAGCACAGCATGGACACAAGAAATTAAGACTAGGAAGTCAAGTTCAGAAGATGGGAGGCTGTGGCAAGTGTAACAAAGCCATAAAACCAGCTGCGAAGGCTAGGAAGGAGGCAATCGTGGGAAGCTAAGAGAGGAATGACTTCTGATCAGCAGGCCATGCAATGGTGCTGGTGCGTTCTTGGGACGGACTGAAAGAGTTCGCGTCTCAAACGCTGTGGCGGGGCAGGCCCTTTAGAGCAACGACGCACTGCCGGGGAGGGGAGGAGCGGGGCGGGGCCGGGCCGTGTTCTGAGACGCTGGGCGGGGCCGCTCACCATATATGGCCAGAGGCCGGGCAAAACTGATTGGAGGAGAGGGCGCATGGCCGCCCGCGGGGACCTTCGCGACCACCGCCCCCCAGCGGCGCCTGCGCACGAGATCAAAAGTTACATAAGCCCTCGAGGGACGTGACTGGCGCGATCGAGGGCGGGAAGTAGACGGCAAGAGGCACGCGCCTGAGGAGACGGGTGCGCGCCTCTCATCGGAGGATGTTCGCCATCATCGTGGGACCAACGGTGGTGACTCTCCCCCCACTCCCCCCGTCTCTTAGACATAAACCGTTGGTCAAGTCTGGGACGAGGAGCAGATCCAGCCACCCCCGGGCTCCTCTCTGAGAAGGAGTCTGGAAAGCGAGGGGGTCCACTCTGAACCTCCTGACCCGACGGGAGGGCTCTCCTTATTTTCTTCCCTGAATTGATCCCTAAGTAAGCAAGGCCTGTAGTGTGTGTTTGGTGTCGTATCGTTAGCACGTGTTACGTGGCTTACTGACGTAGTTTCATGCCAGTTCTTGTTGAGAGCGAAAAGTTGAGTTCTGTGAGTTGGAGGGTCCCTGGTATCATTTCACCTTAATGCTGACCTGGGAATCTGAGTCATCGTCCAGCGAAATTGGGACGTGACAATACTCTGCTGTTTGTGTAGGGTTTTTTTTAATGATGATGGGCATGACCTTTGTACAATAAGACTGTCACCAAGGCAGTCACTTCTTTCCTACATTTCCTGGGGTTAAGGAAGAGACTGGAGAGAAGACACTGTGTTCTGTTGCTGTTCTGTTGAATGTGGGCTAAACTGCTTAGCTGGTCTGTGCTGCAGTTTATATCTGCTTTCCTTAGAAGGCTTTATTTTTATGAACTGCGTATTTTTTAGAAATAATTAAACAGCTGGCAGCCGTTTTAAAAGTAGTGTCTGTCTTTGCATCATACTTCAGTTTGCTGCAAATGCAGTCCTACTGAATGAATGCTTCCTCTGTTGTATTTGGCAGGAGGAAAACACCCAGAACCAAAGTCCACCTTGATTGATTTATGAATTTTTGTTGTTGTTGTTTATAGTAATAACAATTTTTGAGGGAGGTGAGCTAAATGAATCAGTCTTCCATTCAGTTTTGAATATAGTCAGATCTGAAAGTAGTAATGTAAATACATACACTCGTTCTTACCAGAAACTACAAGAAATGTGTCTACTGTTCCAGGTTTGCAAAATGACATGTAAAATTGAGTGTTTAGGTCCAAGTGAACTATTCCTGTTATGGAATGCTTATATGCAGTAAAAAAGGTATCATCTGATTGTCTGTCTTTGCCTTTCTAAGCTCAAATATGAAGGAAAACGAACTATATTACAAATTTGACTGGTGGTATCACTGGAAGATACTCTTGCTATGACATCAGAAGCTAGTCTTTGACAAGGTGAAAGTCCTGTGACCATGAATAAGTAGCTCTGGCAAAGATGGGAACTGTGCAGTATTTAGCATATTCTGTCATAGTTGCAAACAGTGAACTAAGAGCTGTGATAATATAGGTGTTGTTGAGTATTTGATTTGCAAGAACAAGCTAGAATTTGGTATGCGTTTTTAAAGTTATTGCACCCCCACACTTCAGTCAAGAATTTTGGTGGTGGTTTCTTTTAACACCAAAATGGGATTTTTTTTTTTCAACTGAAAAACTGCTAATAAGCATCTTCAACTATTTAAACTATAAATTGAACAAAAATAAGAGAAATGGGAGCTGCTATCAGCATGAAGCATTTGCAGAGATCCTGTTGGGGAAATTCCAGTCCTCCTTATCACTAGATGTTTTAAAACTGTAGCTAGTTAATATCTCAGAAAGTGAACTTGTTGAATTACTGTATTTTCAAATTAATTCGACTTCTGATGAAGCTTGAGCTAAAATCGATGAAGGAAGATTTTGATCCAGGTTCATGCTTTTGTGAACAGAAACCCCATAAACAATATTGCAGTTCACTTACTGTGAGGTGAGGCACAATATGACTAGTTTGGCAGGTAAACAGGAAAATATTGCTGCACAGTGGTTAGGTAGCTCTGAAATGAGAGGACTCCCCTTCCTGTCTCTGCAAGTCTGAAACATTTTTCCTATTTCTGTTGCTTCTACAAAGTAGTGCAGATTTGCAGTGCTCTTCCCGACAAAAGCTGTTTCAGGGTTTATTGGGGGATGCTGGTAGAGGAAAAGCTGGGTGAAGGGATTTGAGGCTGAATAACTTTCTAAGACTTGTTTTTACTTAAGGCTTCACCCTGCCTTAAGCAAGATCTCATGTGGATAATAAGCCTCCACATGCACAGACCCAGTATTTTAACCTGGGCAAGATTTAGGTAATGGTACCCCTAAGTCTGTGCCATGATAATGCCTCAGGTGGTAATGAAGTCTTCAGGTAAATAAATGTAGAGCAGGGGGCTTTTGAGTCACCAAATGAAAGTAGCAATAGCAAGGGTAAGGACAGGAAAAAAAATAAATTGAATGTGTTCCTGCTTTCCTATCTTGTTAGTTTATATGCATATATAAATAGGAGTCCTGGGAGAAGGAGAACAGCAAGAGAATGTGGTGACTTTGTGTGTGACCGACTGCAGAAAATGAGAAGGTGGTGGGTTTTTAAAATATTTGTATGTATGGTCAATGAATAGGGCAACATAACAACTATGAGAGGCAGCCCAGTAAAGATTCGCATGAGATAATACAAACTTGTTATCTCTTGCACAGGAGGATCAAAAGTGGGCTGGCCAGGTTGAAAGAGATAATAAGCTCTTGGAAAGGCTAGCTGAGATACAGCAAAGGACAGGGAGGGTGGGCTGTTGGAATGAACACTTTCAGAGGAGTTAGCTGCTTCCATTTGTTCCAGGAGAGCAGGTATGCGCACATAT